AGTGACCTTGTTCAAAGTATCAGGCCTTATATGAAGAAGCATTCCGACGGGAATCAGAAACCCTCTACTACGGCAGTTGGTATGGCTGGACAAAATTTAATTACCTTAGATTTCATAAACAGTGTTAAAGTTAAATGCATTCGTCACAGGTGGGCCTACCAATAATAGGTAGTTTGTACGCCTTCCTTGTCCATGCATTGGCCGAACGTAACTCACATCCTATAAGGTGCGTACCCACCTGCACTTGTCTGGGCACTAGAGCACTGCGCTTGTCCCGTAAGGTAAACCCGTTCCATCCCGCGTCGTCCGACATGAAAATCGTGGCAGAATCGGAGCAAGTCACTGTCTCACCAAGTGACAGGCCCTCAACATTCGTGTAAGTTAGGTCAGCCACTTTAGCGTCTACAAGGAGAGAATGAGCGATGCATTAGGGAATATTCCTAGTTACACTTTAACCCATAAACAGAGAGGCCAATAGCTGAGAACAATGAATGCAAAAAGGAACACAATGTTTACTGACTTGACATGCTAGACAACCACATCCCTATTAACATTCTCAACCACCTAAACTCATCACATAGCGTCTTATTGCATGATCGTCCACTTCAGAGCTTTCAATTGCTGCCTTGCCATTGCTAGTGTTGGCTATGACTTGATGCTTAGGTTAGCGATACTGTCACTGGAAGCAGAGCTAGAACGCGCGTTCCCATTGGTGACTGATTCTCCTACAAAGGCGCAGTGTTTGTACTGAAAATGAAAGATGAAGTTCATAAGGCTTAGTGGGAAACTGTGGACTGTGGGTGACCCAGATACTGGCAACTGTCGTGATTCTCACCTCTTTCGAAAATACCAATATCCTCAAACGGGAGGATTTTTCTGCCTTCTAGGTTGCCTTCTAATTGCAGTGTTGGAAAATTCCAAGTTTTCGAACAGCGCAACTGGACTGGTGTTCAGAAACGGGCCTTTAAAGAGCTGTTGACATAAATAATAACAACGCAATCTCAAAAAATACTGCACCAAAAGGCAATTAACTTATTTTCTACAGTGATCAATGCCCGAGTCAAAAAAGCCGAGCGTCCATTTCGCTTGGCGTAATTGTGTACAGGTAATACGTCTCCATGGTCACAAATCCTGCCATAACAGTATGTACAGAAGCTGGAAGCCAGTATCAATGTAAATCGTCATGACAAAGCTACGGCATGACAACCAATTATTTCTTCCTATATTGCGGTGTCTATGCCTTGATGGTAGTATTGGTACCGAGAAAATATTCATCTCCTCTGATTTTGACCCCATCCAGAATGGGCAATTATAAGTTTCATGATGCAGAAAAGGTCACTTCTAACTTACTTTATGCCGAAGCATGCCTCTTTGCTTACATTAGCAATGTACTAACTTATACATTTAATTAAGAAGTTCAGAAACACGGGGATTAGCGATCAACTGAAGGCAAAATATATCAAAGAAGTAAGCCGGCCTATTGAAACTCAGCAGCTTACCTGTGAGCTTAACAGAGGCTGTGGCTTCACCAATCGGCGTTTTGTGCCCATTAATGAAAAAGTAGGCTTTGCA